GGATTTGTGGAAGTGATCCCATTAGTGAGACATGGAAAAGACATCTTTGGTCAGATATGAGTATAAAAATTAAAGTTAAGACTCATCTTGAACACTTTAACCAAATAAATACTATTTCAAATGAAGATTACTATACAAAAATTAATTTTTTGTCGTAATTAATTTATTATTTAGTGATCATATAAATGACTATTATTTTTTTACCAGCATTTAAATAAAGGCCGGTGTATCCAGTGTCGTTAATACTATTACCAGAATTTATATAAAATGTTAGTAAATATCTATTAAATTGTTAAAAAAACTTATTTCTTTTAGTGACAATTCTAGTAGCCATTTTAAAGGTTATTAAAAGTTATTTTTTCAATTGTCTCATTTACTTTAAATAATTTATTCTTATAATTTTCTTTTCTAAATTCATAACTTATATATTTTTTTATCTCTACTCGATGTGGGATTTGTAAGATGAGGGTTGTCTTTTATTTATATATTTTTTAATTTATTTTTTTAATTGTCTTGTCTCTTAAAAAATGTGAGATTTATAAGGTGAAAGTTTCTCTCTAATTGTTTTATAACACTATTGAATTTGGTAATAATGGGTGATTTAATACCAATTTAAAATAGTGAATTAGGAATCAACCCTATAAAATGAACTTGTAAGGTGATAGTTATTACTCACTTATATACTATTTAATTAACTTATCTCTAATCGATGTAGGACTTAAGTTTTTTCTAATAAATGATTGTCGTTAATAGTAAATTTTAGTGTAATATAAATAGATTGTCGTTAATAGTAAATTTTAATGTAATATAAATACATTGTTAGTGGCTATTATATATTAGTCATTAATATTTTTATATATGACGGCAATTAAATTATTACCATTCAATAATTGTCGTTAATAACAAAATTTGTTGTAGTGATTAATTATATAAGAATGAAAGAACAAATTGATGAGGAGCCCATGGTGGTACGAGTAAACTTCAAAGGATGCTTTGTGACAAAACCTTGATAGGCCAAGGAAGCTCCATAGACATATTATTTTGTTTTGGGAGGGTTGCCAAAAGCTTTCTTTTCCTAGTGATGTGATCTAGCCGTTCAATGGATACTTGTTAGGATGGGTGAACGAGTTCAAGTTAGAGGCCATGAGAATCTTGATACAACATTCGTTGTAACACCCTCTGCTCTAAAAATATTAAATTAAAACAATTTGCAGAATTATTAAATACAAACAACTTATTTTCAAAACATTTTCGAGAGTAAGGATATTACGTTCCTAACATAGCTTCGTAAACAAAACTGAATGAGATCTTTAACTAAAATTAAATGAACTTTGGCATTCTAAAGGCCAATATAAAATTTAAAGTTAAAAGTACTTAAATGATAATAAAACATAAAAAATAAAAAATAAAAAATAAAAAACCAAAAAAATCCCCCTATATTACATTCTATTGGAACATTTCCTAAAAAGATCAACTAGGCTAAAAGGCAAAAATAGTCTTTACATCCAGATCCACATCAAACTCATTGTGGAAATTGTGATTAGCTTAAACACAAATAAGTAAGGGTGTAAGCCACATCTCAGATCAAATAAATATATATTCACGCAGAAGTTATATGGCATTCAAAAAATATGATATCAATCACAAATATATATATATATATATTGTGAATGCAATGTCTCTTAATTATCTATCTCATATACATGTGGTATCACTCAAAAAGTGAATTAGGAGTAAATGCTATAATAATACCATCCAAAGCATTCAAGTGACTACTTATATCTCACCTTTAACTAGTAAGATCTCCCTTTATGACTCATCAGAGTCACTAGCTACAATGGCACGTCTCAAAGTATAACCATGGGATCAACATGGTCTATTCAAATTTTCCCATTAGGATATCCAACCTTTATGGCTTTCACCGGCTAGGTACACACTAGTACATAAAGAGCTTTCTATATCGAGATCTAATGGCAAGTGTAATTCACCCGACAAAGAAAATGATGAAGTAATAAACTATTATTACTCTTTTTATAACAATTGTGATTACACCTGATATAGAATGATTGTAATTAACTTAAAAATTGACTCATCCTAACACATTCTAAATCCTAAACCCTATAATGAATAAGGTCAACTTAAAAGTTGACTTATTCTAACATATTCTATATCGAATATAATGACATCCGACATAGAAAATATTTTTCTATATAGAATGAAACAACATTCAACATAAAAAAATAATAAAAAAAATAATAAAATAAAATAATAAAATTAAAAAAAAAACCTTTTATAATCCCTATTGGGAGTATCCAAATTTCGCACTCTTCACTTTGTTTTTCTGTGACCTAGCCTCTCAATCTCTGCTACTTTATATACTTTTTCTATGTACTCTAATCCAAGCTTAGTTCTTCACTTATTCTATGAAATTGTGAGCAATACACTAAACGTGTAGGCTAATTTGCTACACTAGAAAAAATGCTTTGTTTTGACTCCAAATCATGTCCAAGACAATATTTCAAGTTTTAATGGTTAAAGTATATCAATCTAGCAACAACTCTAACCTATAATATATATTCACTACTAGAAAAGTGTCATTTTTTTTGCAAATTTTCCTGCAAAAAAATATTTGCAGAAATTTTTTGCGAATTTTCTTGAAAAAAATATTGGTAGAAATTTTTTGCGAAAAATAATTTACAGATATTTCTTACAAATTTTACTACAATTTTAATAATCATAGAAATTTTTTTCCATGGTAAAAATTTGCAGAAAATATTGTAAGAATTTTATTTTGCTTCTTGCAAATTTTCTTGCAAAAATAAATTTGCAAGTAATGTTTACTAAATGGTAAAAAAAATTTGCAGGTAACTTTTCCTGCGGATTTTCTTGCAAATTTTAATCCGCAGGAAAAATAAAAAAAAATATTTAAATTTATAAGTTTAATATTTTAAAAAAAAACTTTAAGTCTCACATCGATTGAAAATAAAACAATTAAAGAGTATATAAGTTGGGGTAACACTTACCTTACAAGTTGATTTATATGGTTGAGTGTTCGACTTATAATCTACAATCTTAGAATTTAAAAGATTATGTATCACATGTTGGAGGCATGGAAACAAATGCTTCGGATGAATTCATTGTGAGCAATTTCCTGCAAATTTTAAAATTCGCGCAAAAAAATATTATCCACGAAGGTATTACCTGCAGATAAAATTTCGCAGGAAAATTTGCAGGAACAACGTTTCCTGCGAAGTTTTATGAAAAAGTTGCAAAAAAAAAAGTCGCATGTAATAAAAGAAATTCTAATAATAATTGCTTTAACCCTCAAAACACGTGAAAGCACCAATTAAGGAACAAGACAATAATTACTCTTTAGAAATCAACTCATACACCAAGTTAGGTTTCTATAGTTCTATCTTAGTTAATTGATTAAAAAAAAGTAACTAAATTATGATTAATCATATAATAATTGTTCAATTTAATTTAACAAAAACATGAATCATAAATTAAAACAGAAAAATCCTATATATTTTTTTATACCATTGTACTATTCTGCATTTACAGATTGAAGAGTTTTAAGGATTAATTTTATTTTTTTACTTTGTGTATTATGAAATTGCACTATAAAAAAATTATCGTATAGTAACACACACTCTATAATAACATAATATTTGTTACTTAAAAACTATTTTTACTTATACTATAAATATAATATATATTGATATATTATTAAAAAGTGTAAATATATGATATAATGATACATATATTGTTAAATTTCATTCAAAATCAACACTAAAATATTTATGTTTAGTTATATATCAAAAAATATATATATATATATATATATATATACTTTAAACTTATAATGACACTTTTTGTATGTCACTGTATATAATAATTCTTATAACGTTGTTTTCTTCTTCTTTTTTTCTTTTATTCCATTTTAGCCTAGGATGTTACCATTTCAATCATTATAAAATTATAAACTTTTTTTAATATATGTTCATTAATTAAGTCGTCATAAATTAGAACAAAAGATTAACTAAAATGAAATTAAAAAAATAAACTAACTTAAACAATAAAAAATTTAAGAGCAGCACCGTAATAATCCTAAAATATATATAAAAGACAAAACTGTTGTTTAAGGCTAATTAATTTTAACAAAGAATGTGCATATAGAATCTCCAAAGACTCACGTTCCTATATCATTGGCCTTGCAATTGTGAAATAGTAGTGTAGTTGAGAAAATTTCACATCCCTCGATTCTAAGTCTATTTCAGAACACAGATTCATAAGATCTAATGTCTTAATTTCTGCAACCATTTCCTCAAAGTCTGACTTTATCATATGCCGTTTCCTTAAATTATTTCCACGGGGAATTATTTAAATTGAGAAAGTGCAAAGTCAATGGATATATCTTAACGGTTGTCTTTTCAAATACTGATGTGTTATTGAAATTCTTTAGCAGTGTAAGAAAAACAAGTACCACGAAAACAACAATATATATTAGTGATGGTTCCAAATTTCCAATTGAGACCCAATCCCTCACAAAGTTTCCATATTCAACCGACTACTTTTGAAGACCGTGTTTAAACTTACAACAGTAACAGGAGGCCAATAGAAGATGAGTTATGGAAAGAAGTAACATTTTAAATACTTTAAACTATTATCGTAAAATTCAAGTCTGAAAAATTGAGACAAAGTCTAAATTGAACTTTGATTCAGTTAACAAGCTTCCCATTATAAAATAATGTTACAGGAATGGGGACAAAGTCAAGTGGACGAGGTAATACCGAAACACTTGCCTTTTTCTTTTTCTTGTGGAGCAACTGCTTAATTAGTCTACTCTTTGATCAAGTAGGCATTAGTTGTTAAGGAATGGTTCATCATCAAATAAAGAATTAATTAGGGTAAAGATAAACTGCAAACCAATTCAATGCTTCACCCTTATAAATAGCAAGCTTCACATGAATCAAAATTCAAATCTCACAAGTGTTACATATATACAGTAGAATCATTTAAGACTAAGAGGAAAATATGAAAGTTGCTTACTTCGTTGTTGCCATCTTGGCTTTGACATTCTCCGTTGTCTCTGCCTATGACCCAAGTCCTCTGCAAGATTTTTGCGTGGCAGTGAAAGAAACTGACGGTGGTATGTACAAATTAACATTCCTCGCAACTCAAATTCTAAGAGCTTGTTAATTTCATGATATAGATTATAATTGATTTTTTTTAATTAAAACTCTTGCTTGTTAATATGTAGTGTTTGTGAATGGAAAGTTCTGCAAAGATCCCAAGCTTGTGAAAGCTGAAGATTTCTTCAAACACGTTGAACCTGGAAAAACTGACAATCCATTGGGTTCACAAGTGACTCCTGTGTTTGTTGATCAACTCCCAGGGCTAAACACACTTGGCATATCTTTGGCTCGCATAGATTTTGCACCAAAGGGTTTAAACCCTCCTCACACTCACCCTCGTGGCACAGAAATCCTTATAGTCCTTGAGGGAACTCTCTACGTTGGATTTGTGTCATCCAATCAAGATGGAAATCGTCTCTTTACTAAAGTGCTAAACAAGGGTGATGTATTTGTGTTCCCAATTGGTCTCATTCATTTTCAATTGAATGTGGGGTATGGAAATGCAGTTGCCATTGCTGGTCTCAGCAGTCAAAATCCAGGAACTATCACTATTGCAAATGCCTTGTTTAAAGCTACTCCACCTATTTCTGTAGAGGTTCTAACCAAAGCTTTCCAGGTGGACAAGAGCACGATTGATTATCTTCAAAAACAATCTTGGTACGACAACAACTAATTTGGAAGCATGGATGATCATTTGATATTAGTTATTGGATAATTGATGATTGATGTTTCAATAGCCCCAAATAATAGAACTCCAAATAATTACTAATGTAATTAATAAATGTATGTGGGTTTCTTTTACATACATAATTGTTCTTTTTGTAGTTTGATTATACAATGTTTTTTACTTTAGTAAATGAACTTATTTTTGTTGGAGTTGTGCTTGGCTCCATTCTTCGGGACTCTTAATTTCAAGAGTAAGTAGTATCTAGGAATGACAATGAATATGGTCTTATAATACTTATTCTTATACTTGTGTTTAAAAATAATATTGGTAGCTGATTGCATATATTTGTGGGTAGCAATTTCAATTCTCATTCCTATGCCTATCGGGTACCTAGATTCCATACTTGTATCTACAACTCACACTTTACTTATATAGAGGTTAATAATAGTAATAAATTGATAATAAAAAAAACAATTAAAACAATTACTAAAGTTATATAAAAAAATATTCTTAAATTAATAATCTAAATAAAATCTTAAAAGCACTATAGTTTATTCAGACACAAATCATAAAAATCATTACAAAGATAATCATTGAATCTCTAATATTGAAATATTTTTATTTTAAATCAATATTATTTTGAAAACATCATACTTGCCTTAGTTTATGTTAATTATATCATCATAAATAAGAAGAAAAAAAATATCACATAGATGACTTAAAATATGAGAACTTAAACAAGAAAGAAATTTAAAAGAAACAAAACTAAAATAATTATATTATATATCGCATGTTTTTGTTTTTATGCATTTTATGTGTTGTTTGATATTTTGTGTTGTACGTTGTGTTTAGAGCTGTTTGAGTTGAGATCAAAGTTGACCAAGAATAAGAGAAGGTATATAAGTTTTTAGGGTAGAAGAACTTTTTCATAAGTTCATTTCTTTCAATTTCTAAAAAGAAGATTTAAAGAGATAAGTTTTACATTCAAGGAAGATTGTTTCTAATTCTAATTCCACCAAGAGCATTTTTATCCTTCTTTGAAGTGGTGATCGAACTATAGAAGATTGAGCTAAGGAGTTAGGAGTAGAGAGAAGTCGACCCTTGAAGGTCTCATTGTTCTTCCTTTCTCTTAGATTCTTAGTATTGTGGAAACTTTTGAGGTAAAGGAAGCTTATAGATTGACTCTTTTATGTTGTTGCATGTTGGACCATGAGTTGTTTGAGCCCATTAGTGGTGTCTATATATATCTATATATATATATATATATATATATATATATATATATATATGT